GCGCTAGCGGCGCAGCGGACCTGGGCGCGCTTCATCCCCGGCCGCGTGGAGTTTTTTTCCAGTCAGCAGTCCCCCAACGCCGGGATGAGCCAGCCCCCGCCACCCCTGCCTGTCATCGCGCTACCGGGGGTGGACGACTCCTACCCTCCCCAGAAAAAGTCCTTCATGATGATCAAGTACATGCACGACCACTACCTGGACAAGTATGAGTGGTTTATGCGCGCCGACGACGACGTCTACATCAAAGGTGACCTCCCAGCGCCGGCTGTCCCGCCTGCCCACCCCTGCCCCTGCCCCCGCCCCCCACCCCTTCTCTGCAACCAGCCCGAATCCCTGCCCAGCCCCTCTCTGCTTCTCTGCCAGCACTTGCTCAGGGCTCCTGCAGCCCCCACCCCGCCGTCCCCACCCTTAGCATCCAACCACCATTCCTAGCCCGCTCCTCCTCTTCTCCTGCGGTCTGGACCCTCCTCACACCTGACCGGCTTTATTCTCCTTGCTCACTCTTGCTGTTCTCATTTCCGCCCAGAGCTTGCCCCTACTCTTTACTGTGTGGGAACAGCGAGGAAAGGGGCTTGAGGCTTAACCGAAGGCTATTCCTACTCTGCCCTGCTCTGAAAGCCCCGGGTGGTGGTAGTTTCCCACAGCTATCCAGAGGGGCGTGTCCTCGGTGAAGGAAGGGAAGACCGAGGAAGCGGGCGAGAGCCGGTCTGGAGATGGGTGTTCTAGCTTTCTTCCACAGTCCTTTTGTTGTAATTGGATCTAACGCAGTTTCGGAACTGGGGAGATTAAGGAAACATTTTCGCTGTTCCGGACCGTCCCCTTCCCTCTCTCACGACCCACCACGCGCTGGGAGTCCTTAAGCACCCCCACACCCCTCCAGCGCTCACCTCCTTCCAGCCACTACAGTTGCAGCACTAGGTCGGCCCTTAACACCCGCCCGCCCGCCACACCTTTGTAAAACCCGGAGCGGATGAGTGTATTTTTAGGAATTGGTGGTAGAGAAGAAGGGGACAGCGCCCTGAATTATCCAGACCCCAGGAGCTCCAAGCTGTAGATACTAGTGTGGATCCTTTCCAATCTATTTTGGTGGCTGCGGCGATAAGCAGAGCCTGGAAGTCCTTCCCAAAACCACGCGCAGCCACAGCAGGAGAAAACTTTGTCAGTTTTAAAAGAGGCGCGGTCCTTCACCTTGAGTGTGTGTGGCTCTAGCCAGAGATTTCTAAACTCAACAGAGAAAAGTTCCTGAGAGCGGGAGTAAATCTTTCCAGTCCCGCCCGTTGCGGATATGGAGATGGATTGGTCAAAGAGAGGCAGCTCTTCCTAGTGTATACCTCTCTCCTTGTAGCCTCATTGCTTTCTCCTGACCCAGGTAGTCTTTCACCTGACTCAAGGAGAAACAAACAAGATCTGTCCCATTTTGGCTCAGGGAGTGAGTGTAGACTAATAACTAGAGATTTCTTGGGGTTAGGTTAGGTAGAGTGAAATCATTCCATTGATAATTTGATACAAAAATAGATGATTGCATATCTGATGAATACTAAATTGAAGATGTATAGGTATCTATACCTGTAACTGATAGATCGCTTATCTTATAGTCCCTTTGTCTTCAGTGTCTCACTAAAATCACAAAGGTTTCCTCGCAGAAGTTTGCCACACTTTGCAAAGAATTTCTAAAATGCCTTAATAGCATATATTTCTGTCATTTCTCTTAATGCACTGAAAGATTGTCCTTCAGAACATTGAAGCGTTGTAGTCTTTCCATTTCTATTAAGAATGAATATGCATTTTGTGTTAAGAACCCGATAATAGCCAAAACTCATTGAGATCCAAGGGGCGAGGCATGGGATCAAGATAAATGGCTGCAGGTGCCGAGCTCATCAAACAATGATAGTAAATATTCTGACTGGGAATATAAAGAAGGTGACTACCTCACTGTATCACTTTGTAGAATATCTAATGTGTTCAAACTCTTTTAGCTACAGAATTTTACCTTTAAATCATTTTTCTTGATGAACTCACGTACTATCAGGAAACCAGTTACTTAATTTTTTAAGAAATATTTATTTTTTCTGAAAAGGTGCTTTCTAAAGTTAAATTCCACAATGACTTTAATACCCTCTCTTTCTCAACTTTTGGGTTGTATGTGACTGTTTAGTAATGTGAAGTTTAGTTAAGGACAAAACACAACTAAATTATCAGGAAAAATATTTATTGAATATCAACAGTCTGCCAGTCAATGCTAAATATAACTTATTTTCTGAAAATGTTATCATTACTTCAAACATGCTAATAAATTTGTCATTATTCTCCTTGTTATCTCACCTTTTACAAAAAAAAAGTCTAATGATGGTTGGACTTCTTAAGGCTTTTCAGTGATCTTGACTAGAAGGTTGATAACATTTTATTATGATTTAATTAGTAACTGAAAATTAGTAGTTTTAAAATAATAGAATATTCGGAGAGGTTTTTCTTCCTTTCAGTTGTATTATGACTTTGGGGGAGTTTGCACCCAATGTTGGAAGGTCTTTCCCTTACTTTGTATGTTCTAAATAATTATGAAATTAGCAAGAGGAGTGATTGTTGCCTTTCTCTTTGTAGGTGATAAGTTAGAAGAGTTTCTTCGATCACTGAATAGCAGTAAGCCTCTCTACCTGGGTCAGACTGGCCTGGGGAATATTGAAGAACTTGGAAAACTGGGGCTGGAGCCTGGAGAGAACTTCTGTATGGGAGGACCTGGCATGATCTTCAGTCGAGAGGTTCTCAGGAGAATGGTGCCACATATTGGTGAATGCCTCAGAGAAATGTACACAACTCATGAGGACGTTGAAGTAGGCAGATGTGTTCGACGCTTTGGTGGGACTCAGTGTGTCTGGTCTTACGAGGTAAGATAGTCTGTGATGAAAATGTTCACATATTACGGGCGCGTGCCAATTTATAGCCTGGGGCAGTGATTTTGTTTATTCTCTCAACATCTTTTTATTTGCTTGAGAATGATAGAAGCAACCAGGTATGGACACAAGGGTGATTGTGGCAGGTAACTTTCTTCACAAAGCTGAGGCCTGTTGGAGGTTTTTTTTATTAGCATGACCTTTAGCTTTAAGCAGCAGCCCCTGTATCCAGTCACATCTCTGGAAAATGCTATTTCCCCTCTATTTGCTTTATTAGTGTTTATATACATGCTTATCCATTTCCTGTCTCTAACGAGAGGACTAATTGTATTCTCTTAGGTTGTTGCTTTTAACATTTGGTACTTTGTTGGTTGTTGCTGTTGGTGTTTTGTTAGGTATATAAGTGCATCTCTTTGTTTCCAAATACTTAAAATCTAAAGTTTCTTGGAAGATTTTCATTTGGAAATTTAGCATGTTACTTTTTTAAAGCATAGGAAGAAATAACTCATAATGTATCATTTATGATAGATTTATTTACAAAATAAAGGGAATTAGTTACCTGAGAAAAGAGAAGTAGTTATGAAGATGTTAAGTAACTATTTAAATTATGATTGATTGCTTAAAATTGGTCTCTGTCTTCTCTTATTCCATTTCCTGAAAAGCAGCCATTACTTACATAATCTGAGTTACAAACTGTTCTTTTATTGTGATAGTTTTATGAAACACTCTGGGATTTTTTTTTTTCCTTCAGAAATTTGTTTTGAAATGAAATACAATTTTATTTAAAATAGTTTTCCTAAAAGATAATCTTAGTAAAAATTGGATTTAACATTTAAATAGTGTACTGCACTTTTCAGAAGTTTGGTTTTCAAGTGTTTGGGGTTTGATACACTTCAACTATCCAATGCACACATTTGTAAATTATAATGTAACTCATTTATCTTTTCAAATTCTTCATGTCTCCTGGTACAGAAGAAAAATGAAAATATGTCCCTTGTAAAATCATGATACCTCAAGATTACACAGTCCTAATCATTCTTCTTTTGGAAGTTTAATCCCACTTATTTAATTTTGCTTTATTTTTTATACTTTGTAGTATTTACACTTTGGGGGAATATTTCTTCTATTACAGAAAGTAAAAATTATCAGTAACCATTTATTTGTACTATGTACTATGCAGATTTAAAATTATATACCTCATTCCTTTTGATAATAAAATAGTAATTTGTCTTTTGTTAAACTATGACTACCCTATAGAGTAAAAATTTATGCAAGAACATTATATTTAAAAATAGGTATTTTAGAATAACAAACATATTTGTGTTTATTTAATATAAAACTAACTGGAAGGCAAAAAATAAATGTACAGAAAGCACATTAGGTTGACTTTGTATGAAGATATTATTTTGGAGACATTGGCTCTGTGCGGGTAAGTAAACAAAATTAACCATATTTAAAAATAAAGATGGCAATTTGTTATGTTTTATTTGGTACTTTATTGCCTTAACATCACATAGGAAGTTTTAACCTTTTGTTTAAATCTTTCTCTTCAAGTTTTCATTGATTTTGCTGTGATACAGTCTTCACCTAGTTGTGTACTCATTTATGTTCCAAGAGAGTGAAATATGCTCAGTAACCTACATGCAGAAGAATTGATTTAATATTTATTTTCAGTATAGGCTTTTGTTCTGATTAGAGTGAGGGGAATTCTCATAGATGTGCACACTCTGTATTAATATGAGTGGAGTCTTAGATCTTACCATAAACTGACATAAAAGAACAGACAAACCAAGGGATTCCAGATCTTACAAGATGTAACTTCATGATCACAGTATTTTCATTAAATTTTCAAAATACATTTGAGTTTAGACTCATACTAGCATATCACTGACTTCACAATTTATATGAGGGAAATCATTTCTACCTTTTTCCCCTAGCAATAGAAAATATTATTTTCTGAAGTTGTACTGTTAACTTTCTTAGGCTAAACAATTGTATACAATTTACTTTGTTTTGGAAGTTCAGTTTTTAAGGAGTATTTAAACAGTACTTATTTTAGAGGAATCATTTGGTAATACAAAGTCTCAAAGTCTTATTTAAAGGAATGATGGGAGCTTTGCACAATAGCAGTATCGTAGCCAATGAGGTTTATCCGAGGCACGATCATTGCTGATTAAAGGAATGATGGAAAATTTCATTAGCAAGGGACATATTAAACAGCATCTTTCAATAAATTCAGTAAAGATAAATATACAATAAAGTTATAATTTAAGCATTTTAATATTAGGATGTTCTCTGTTTTATGAGATACGTGGTTAGGTCAATTGGATCACGGCCAAACTAGGATTTTCTAGTTTGGATTTTAGGTTAGTTCAAATGATGTCAATTCTATACTACTGTTCACATTATATGGAAAAAAGTAATCTATTCTGTACATTGGCATCCTCAGTAAAGGTCAGGGATTTTACATCTGGTCGTACAACAAGCTGTGAAACTGATCCTTAACTTTGTTTTCATACTTCTTTTGAAAGAACTCTGTGATGGAATTCTCTTAAAATCTTGAATTTCCTTTATCTGTACCTTTCATGGATTTCAGGGTTCTGTTTGGCTTTTCCTCTAGTAAAAATTCTAGCAGAGTTAAGAGCACTGTTCACGATTTTTGAGTTTGAATATGTGAAACATTCATGATGGAACTTACCTTTTAAAAATGATAAATAGACTTGTAGATCTTTCAGGAAGAGAATTGGACAAATAAACTATATAGAGTAGGTAGGTTTTCTTTATTATAAATTATTGTTTTTATAAAACCTAGAAATCTCCTAGAATTCTTTGCTGCTTATGAAAGTGTACTTTCTTTGTATATACAATTAAGCATAATTGAGAAAGAGAGAGGGTAAACTTAAACCTGGGTTTGAGTTCTATTGTCTTTTGTAATTGAGCCTTGTTTAATTAAGCTGAAATTGGATATTATAATTGTGTCTACCACATACTTTTTGAAGAAGATGAAGTGAATTGCTGAAATGATCTATGTAAAGCCCTTAATATAGTGTTTGGCACATAGTATATTGTCAATAGGTGTTAGCTATTATTGTCATAATTGTCGCTGAATAGATCGTGTACTATATTAAATATAACAGGGATTCATCCATATTTTACTTCATTTAGTAGCTATTAGTAATGAGTGATTTGTCTATATATCAAAAGAGGCAAACTAAAAATAAGCTGAATTCTTTTCAGTTAAAGAATCCAAGTTTAAGTTTTTTTGGCATAGAACGAGAAACTTTTATGTTTTGGTATTGTTGGGTATTGAATCCATGTCAGTAGAACATATTATAAAACATGGAAGTCTGTATGTTTAAATGATGCATTACAAACATTTGCTTCTGTCTTTGAACACCATATTAATAGCTTATCTTGAGATAGTGTGGAAAATATTAACAAGTGATTATCTAATATACACGTTTAAGGAATACCAAACAAATCAGACTCTATATTAAAAAAATTACTGCGTAGATTTCTAGATCAGTTGGCAGAACAATAGCCCCCTTTTCTAAGTTTCTCTGGAATTTTTAGTGGGAAAGGAAGTTAGTAGTATCTCATCCTGCAGTCATCTTGTATGAATACCCAGGAACTTGTCTCTCAAGTAACTGGAACCTCTTTCTGATGTTGCTCACTTTTTTTGGGAAATAATGGATAGCTTCACTTCCTTCCCAGGGTAAGGTCCTGGTGGTCTGGGACAATATGCCTTGCCTGTGAGCTTCTTGCTTTGTTTCTCTGTCATCTCTTCCCCTTGTACTTTCTCCCTTCTATATTTAATGGTATATAAAATAGATTACAAATGCATTTTAATAGACACTGCTTTTCATCAAGTTCTCAGTAAATTAACATGCTTATGACAGGCCAGTCCCAATATTGCAAGAGTTCACAGGATGTGTGCCCAGATCACATTTAGGGCCCAGGAATCACTTGACCTCTTCTGAGTTAAGAGGCCTTTGATTGCTGGTGAGCCTCAGATGGACTGGTTCTCTGTGTGCCTGAGACCATTGGGCAGTCAGAATTAGGATTCTCCCTTTGCTACTTGGAGATAGAAACATCTAGATTCTAAGGACATATGGAAGATGTTAATAATCAACACACTTGATGGGTTGCTTTTGTATTCATTTATACCTCAAATTGTATAAGTAAAGTTACTAACTGAAGCATGTTCGTGAAAAATCATTCTATTTTATTCACTCTATGAGTGTGAGAATTTATTGGCATCTACTGACTTTTTTGGTAGAGCTCTGTCTTGGCTACTGTTTTCCTAGTTATCTGAGCTACAATCTGGCAGCTTGGGAGGCTGCATATGGCTCTTAAACATCGTTTGGCTCATAGAGTGTTTTAAAATTTTCTGTTTTTGTTTTTTGATGCCTTTAGCCGAGGCCAGCAGTCTTCAGCCCCCTTCATGTCCTATTTCGAACACCAAGCTCTCCTTGCATGTTTATTTTAACTGCCTGGCCCAGGTATACATAAGAGTCCTGATATTTTGAGCCAGATAACCCACATGTTGAAATTTTTATTAAAATATTCTCTAGAAAATGAACTAATTTTCTAGCAAGAATGAAATGTGTATTTTAAATACTGTAATTTACAGAATTATTTTTTTCAAACTTGGCTGTTAGAATAGAATAGAATATAGTTACACTTTCTTTGTTGTAGGTATGTTTTTAGTAACTAGAAAGTCCTCACTGTTACAACAACAACAACAAAAGTTTAAATAGTTCCCTTTCATCCTGTGTCTTAGCAGAATTGGTAGTTCTGTTTCTTTTTGCTTTTTGTTTTAGTACCATCTTTTATATTCAAACATTAAAGCAATTTTAATTTCAATGATTCTTCTTCTCCCTGTGAGGGAGTTTTACATTTCATTGTCTGAGACTCATCTTTAGAATAGTGTGTATTTATCTTTTTAATGTTTATAGTTAAATGGAGCCAGAGAATATATAATTTATTTCCTTCAATTAAATGTTGTTTCAAATAAAACATAGCTCTATATTGATAAAAATATTTCTCTATGGGCTTAGAAAACCATTTCTTATGACTAAACAGATTTTTTTATTAGATTCCTTAAAGAGTTAACGTCAAGCCAGAATGCCTTATGTTTAATCTTGGCCCCCTAGAGGCTATAAACACCCTAGGACATTCCATTATTTCACAAAAGGATATGTTCTGAAAGTGTTTCTCTGGGCTTGTAATACCAGAGAGCTATACCATAAAAATCTTAAGTACATATAACTTCTTCATAACATAACCATTAAGGTTAAAATATCTGTGCCATTCTTAAAGGGCTATTGCACATCCTCTTTGGCATCTTGCTATTACTTACGGGCTTCACTCTTCTGTAATGCTAATTTTGCTCCATCATGAACATGGTTTATGCCCCTAAAGTATGTTAATATGTATGGAAAAGCATAAGTGGGGATTTTGATCTAAAATTTAGTCTTTCCAACTTCTTTTCTCACTTCTTATTCAGTCACAGTTTAGTTTTTGACTAAAAGCAGTAAGCTTCTCACACCTACTCTTGCCACCCCCATTCTGCTTGTCACATGAAATCACCCTGCGTTGATTTTAGACAGTTTCTCTTCTGCCACATTGTTTTCTCCCTCGTACAAAATGAAATTGCATTCCAAGTTGAAGGAGAAACATGGTATGGTTTTTCATATTTGTAGTCTTAGCTCGTTTATTTTTATTGTTAACTGATGCCTTATCACCTGAATTGTGACAACATACGCTTTACGAGAAGATGATTCCAACAAGTTGTGAAAAATATGAAGTTAGGAAGATGCCTCCACACAATTTGAAATAAGTTTCATGATGGCATATAAATACTATTTCAATTTAAAAACCTTGAATATTCTTTATCTTTAACTGATCACAAGCGTACTAACTTCCTGAAGAAATTCCAAGTCAGTTTTTTACTTCCACTTGATTTGTCTTTGTCTCTAAAAACCTATGTTTTGAGAAACATTTACTTCAGTCTTTTTTCTATCTAGTGAATTAGGGCTCATCGTACAAAGAAATGTGTTCAATCATGTAACTAATATGGCATTTTACTTTGATTATAGCATGTTCCTTGTTTCGCACAAAGGTGCACCTTTTAAGAATGGGGTATTTGAGCTAAATACAACATTAAAATAAAAAAATCAGTGTCTTCAGGCATCTGAGTCATTATTTGATATCATTCAACAATAAGAAAATCTCAAGCTGAACAATGCGGGGGGTGGGTTGCAGTTCCTCGGAATTCTAACATTCTGTTCATTTACTATCCTATTTTTTTAAAATTTTTTATTGTTATGTTGATCACCATACATCATTTGTTTTTAATGTAGTGTTCCATGATTCACTGTGTGTGCATAATACCCAGTGCTCCACGCAGAATGTGCCCTCTTTAATACCCATCACCAGGCTAACCCATCCCTCCTCCCCTCTAGAACCCTCAGTTTGATTTTCAGAGTCCATCATCTCTCATGGTTCGTCTCCCCCTCCGATTTCCCCCCCTTCATTTTCCCTTCCTGCTTTTTTTTTTTTCTTAACGTATATTGCATTATTTGTTTCAGAGGTACAGATCTGTGATTCAACAGTCTTGCACAATTCACAGCGCTCACCATAGCACATACCTTCCCCAGTGTCTGTCACCTAGCCACCCCCTCCCTACCACCCCCCACCACTCCAGCAACCCTCAGTTTGTTTCCTGAGATTAAGAATGCCTCATATCAGTGAAGTCCTATGATACATGTCTTTCTCTGATTGACTTATTTCACTCAGCATAAGACCCTCCAGTTCTGTCCATGTCGTTGCAAATGGCAAGATCTCATTCGTTTTGATGGCTGCATGATATTCTATTGTGTATATATACCACATCTTCTTTATCCATTCATCTATCGATGGACATCTTGGCTCTTTCCACAGATTGGCTATTGTGGACATTGCTGCTATAAACATTGGGGTGCATGTACCCCTTCGGATCCCTACATTTGTATCTTTGGGGTGAATACCCAGTAGTGCAATTGCTGGATCGTATGGTAGCTCTATTTTCAACTGTTTGAGGAACCTCCATACTGTTTTCCAGAGTGGTTGCACCAGCTTACATTCCCACCAACAGTGTAGGAGGGTTCCCCTTTCTCCACATCCCCGCCAACATCTGTCATTTCCTGACTTGATAATTTGAGCCATTCTGACTGGTGTGAGGTGGTATCTCATTGAGGTTTTGATTTGGA